ATTCCGACTTGAGCGAATGGAGTTTCCGGCACATCAATCGGATGGAGGAGCCCTGCTGGTTTGACGGCTGGCACTTCCCTACGTTGGCACTCAAGACAAGTCCAAACGTGCTGTTGAACGGTTGCCGTCAGTTTCGGCCAGTAATACTTCTGTCTCACTCGGCATAGCGTTCGTGTGTGGCATAAATGACCGGATGTCGGTTCGTCATGGCACGCCTCTCGTACTTCTTTCCTGAGTGGTGTTGGGACGACAAGTAAGTAGGTGTTGCCACTCGGAGAAAAGTTCACCTTATAAAGGACCTCGTTGCGCAAACAAAACGATGCTACCCCTCTTGCGAAGAGCTTTGGCATAGCAGATGTGCGTCCCTCTAAGAAATCAATAAGGGGTTGCGACTCGGGATCGTCGCGTTGCTGCTGTGCGATTATAGACGTGTTGACTACACCGACAAACGCCGCATAGTCATCATCTTCAGCATTTGCGTCTTCTAATGGGGCGCGACAATGACAATCGGCGTCTGTATGTCGCTTTCCGGATTTATAAACTATGGTCATATCGAATTCTTGAAGCCTGAGGCTCCAGCGTGCTAATCGACCTGACGGGTCCTTTATGTTCGTCAACCAGCAAAGCGAGTGGTGATCACTAATGACTTTAAACGGGCGACCCTATAAATATGGACGAAACTTCATGACCGCCCACACCACCGCAAGACACTCTTTTTCGGTGGTAGAGTAATTATCCTCTGTATGGGAGAGAGTCCGACTTGCATAAGCAATTACTCGTTCGGCGCCATCTTGCCACTGAACGAGCACAGCTCCTAAGCCGACATTGCTGGCGTCGGTGTGAACCGCTGTCGGAGCGTCATCGTCGAAGTGTCCGAGAACTGGCGGGCTTTGAAGACGTTGTCGCAGCTCGTTGAACGCTTCCTGCTGCTCTTCACCCCACATAAAGTGACGTCTTCTCGGGTGAGTTGTGTTAAAGGTGATGTGATACGCGAAAAATTCTCAATGAAGCGTCGGTAATAGGCGCACAGACCTAAAAATCTCCGCACTGCCTTCTTGTCTGATGGCGTAGGAAAACTTGCAACAGCGGCTATTTTGTCTGGGTCAGGCCATACACCTTCACTGCTGACAAGGTGTCCCAAGAAAAGAAGCTCTTCGAAGCCAAAGTGACATTTTTCTGGCTTGAGTGTTAGTCCGGCCGATTGTATCGCTTGAAATACCGTGTGTAGTCGCTTCAAGTGCTCGTCAAATGTCGCGGAAAATACAATTACATTGTCCAAATATACCAGGCACGTTTGCCACTTTAGGCCTGACAGGACTCTGTCCATGAGCCGCTGAAACGTTGCCGGTGCCGAGCACAAGCCGAACGGGAGAACTTTAAACTCATAAAGACCATACCATAAAGACTATCGTGTGTCACAAATGCAGTTTTTTCTCGATCTCTTTCGTCAACTTCTATTTGCCAATATCCGCTCCGTAAATCCATCGACGAGAAATACCGTGCATGGCGTAGTCGATCGAGAGAGTCGTCTATACGAGGCAGCGGGTAAGCGTCCTTTTTCGTAACCTGATTGAGCTTGCGTTAATCAACGAAGAAACGTAAGGTGCCATCTTTTTTCTTCGCCAATACTACCGGTGATGCGCAAGGACTGTTTGACGGCTGAACAACGTCATCCTGAAGCATCTTTCGCTCCTGACTTTCTATGGCCTCACGTTCCCACGGAGCTACTAAGTATGGGTTCTGCCGTATGGGTCTGGCCGTTTCATCCGTAATTATTCGATGTTTCGTCAACGGCGTTTGGCGAACTCTGGACGTCGAAGAAAAACAGTCCTGAAATTCATTAATAAGCTTCAGAAGGCTTTGCTTCTGCGGGAGCAGTAAACTTGGGCCAACGTCGACGCATAGAGGGGCTGACCCGGTGACATCGGCTTTCTCCACAGTCAAGCAGCCTGCAATCTCAATGAGCTCCTTGACGTACGTGACTGCCATACCTTTTGCAAGATGTTGTCGCTCAGTACTGAATATCGTAACAAGAACGTGCGTGTGTCCGCAATTGAGGCTTACGACGGCTCTTGCAACAGATAGGCCATGGCCGAATAGCAATGCTGAAATTTGTTCAGCGATGTGGTCGAAGTTGCCTGGGTTGTCGCATGTTACAGCTACCAGAGCACTTGAACGGGGTGGAATGGTCACGTGATCTTCGAAGACGCGCAGATGTTTACGCCGCTGGTCGTTACATCTCATACCTGGAACTTGATCTGGGGCCATCAAAAATGTAACTGACCTGTCTGGAATGTCTGTGACGGTGCCATATTCACAAAGAAAGTCCACCACCAAGATCAAGTCTTTGCAGCACTCGGACAAAATAACGAACTTGGCAACGAAAGCTGAATCACCGATACTAATTCTGGCAGTGCACTTTCCAGTTGGCGTCATCAGTTGGCCCCCCCGCGGTTGTTATGTTAGGCCTCGTCTATGACGTTTTAACTTTTGTAAGCCAATCAGCAAGCTTTCTGCTCATAATAGAGAAATCTGCGCCAGTGTCTACTAGCGCTGTCACAGGGCGTCCGTCTATGTAAACAGGTATGTCGGCACTTACGATTTCCTGTGGGGTCGGCGGCGTTGCATGGTTCGTCGTATCGTTGTATCGTACTGGTATTGGAGGTATTGCAGCATCTCGACGAGTGGCAACCTTCCCTTCAAAGGTCGCAGCAGTTAGTTTCCCCGATGAGGGCTTGGGAACCTGCCCCGGACAGCGTCGGCGTAACTACGACGGTTGTGTGAAGAGCTCGGCGAAGGCGACGGAGAGCGGGGTCGACAATACAGAGCGGATGGCTGTCCTTGCGGGTGCGCGCTGTCATGTTGAATGTCGAAACGAGGTCGTGAAAAAGTCGGTGCTTAAGTCGGGTATCTTTCTTCACGATATGGACAGACGCGGTAAACATGTCCAGCTTCTCTGCAATTGAAACACAGTGGACGGCGGTCGACGGTGCGCCACAGATCCGTCTTCCGAACGAATGGTCGACTGGTAGGCACCCTCGGCGACCAAGTTGCAGGTGTCGGCAGAGGGTAGAACGGCGGGTAGAACGGAGTTTCAGTAGGTGCGTTATATTGCGGAGTCGTCGTCGTTGGTGGTGGCGGCGGCGGTGGTGGGTTGTAGACTGGTGGTGCCGGCGTGTTGTAAGAATGAGCCAGTGCAGACAAGTTTTGTGGCACTGGCGACGAACGACGGGAGGCTGCCGCATAGTTAATAGATCGCTGGGCTGGTAGTTATTCGGGCTGCGAAAATGCTTGCCTGATTTCCTGCCGCACAACTTCTCCAACTGAAGCCATCGCCTGTTCTTGCGGAGTCACAAGGAAGTTGCGGATCTCCTAACGAACAACCTCGCGAATAAGCTCAGGAAGAGAACCGTCACTGCCGGCCGTTAGAGTAGAGACGCTGATTGAGGCACCGTTTGGTCGGTCGTAATAGCGACACCGTTGCTGCAGTGCGCGCTCGATAGCTGTAGCCTCTTTGATGAATTCCGCAACGGTCATCGGCGGATTGCAGAGAAGGCCGGCAAACAGCTGTTCTTTGACGCCTTGCATCAAATGGCGGAGTTTCTTGGCTTAAGGCATATCAAGGTCAGCCCGTCCAAATAGGCGCGTCATGTTCTCCGCAAACATGGCGACACTTTCATTCAGTTTCTGGACCCGAGACTCGATGAGTTGCTGAGCAAAGTCACGACGGTCATTGTTTGCGAAGGGGCTGAGAATCTGGCGGCGAAATTCATCCCATAAAGACAGCGTTGCTTCGTGGTTCTCATACCACGTACGAGCGCTGTCTGCTAAAGCGAAGTAGGCGCGTGAAAGCTTTAGCTCGGTGGTCCAGCGGTTTCTCTTAGCGACTCGCTCATACTGAGCTAACCAGTCCTCAATGTCTTCATACGCCTCACCATGAAATGTTTCCGGAATCTGAGGCTGCTCAAAAGTCAGCTGGGAAGCACCTGCAGTTGCCATTTCTCCAGGCGGAGTGCTGTGCTGGAAAAGTTCCACGGGAATTGCCTCAGGACTAAGGCCTCACTGTCGGCGACTGTACTGGTGAACAAGGGTATCCACTGAAGGAACGGGATGCGGTGTCGGACTTGAAGTGCCGGGCCGCGGAGGAGTCCCGAGCATCAGTTGTATAAGTCCAGCACCTCCACCAGTGTCGCAACGTGCAAAGAACAAGACACAAGGCTTCCTTTCGACGTTAACAGCAAGGCTCTATTGGCACACAAAAACAAAGCGCAAGAGCAGACGCACAACGTCATCTTCCTCGAAAACGCCAGAGACCACCACACGTGATGCTGGCTTCTTCCTCCTTTTGTGCCTACGGCTAATAACCGTGACAATATTATGAGAGACACCGTGGTGGAGGGCACCGGAAATTTCCACCACTAGGGTTCTTTAACGTGCGCCCGAATATGAGCACTCGGTCCTACAGCATTTCCGCCTTCATCAGAAATGAAGCCGCCGCAGCCGAGATTCGATCCCGCGACCTGCGGGTCAGCAACCGAGTACCTTAGCCACTACATCACTGCGACGGGGCAAGATGGAGTGTGAAGGCAAAGGACGCAGCTGAGTCCGAACCTAGGACGGGCCAGCGATTGGCGTTTATTGATGGTAATGGGTTTTATACAGCGGTTATGCGCCCCTTGAATGCAGGAAACTTAGTTTCGAAACCGAATCCGAAAACCACAACACAGTGGCACCTGACGGCTGAGATGAAGAAGGTACCGTAGGTTGAGTATATATGTGTAAAATTTAATTCACAAAAAAGGTGAGGGTGGAGGGCCGTTTTAAAGATGTAGTGCTCCAATGTTGAGGTATTTTCCCAATATCGACCCTTCCCAATCTTTGACGTATTTTCCCAATATCGACCACGTGCCAGTTTCCTAGACTGCTATCACCATCATCCACGGCGCGGTTCGGCGGTGCGATCAAGCGGGGATCGGCATCGGCGGGCGGGCGGTGCGACAATGACCACCAGCGGCATGGCTTCGTCAACAGACTACTACGAGCTTCTGGGCGTGAGTCGCAGCGCGGGTCCCGAGGATATCCGGCAGGCGTACCGGCGACGGGCGCTGCGCTGGCACCCGGACAAGAACCCCGGTCGCAGCGAGGTCGCCGAGAGACGCTTTAAACGCCTGCATGAGGCATACATGGTGAGCGGACGGCACAGTGCGACAGCTCGCCGCTATGATACGATCGTGAATGACACCGTCCTTCTGTCGGCAGTGTTGACCCATAATTACCAAGCATATGCGAGACATTTTCGTGGACTATCTTATCGTAATCTAGGCTAGCTTGCCTCAAGAAAAGAAACGTAGTCATCTACAAATTTCCTGTAAGAAGCTGAGAAACAACCCTTGCGGGTTTCTCGGAAAGCAAACGATCCAGAACACACACACACACACACACACACACACACACACACACACACACACACACACACACACACACACACACACTCTCTCTCTCTCTCTCTCTCTCTCTCCCTCTCTGCAGAACCACCACCTAAACCCCGGGCGAGCCCGTTTCCAGGAAATTTGCTGTGTTATCTGAGCTAAGCAGTTGGTAGGTCACCACATGAGATAAAATTAATCTACAGCTCGAAGTACAACACACAATATGTCAATTCAGGTTTTTGGAGTCCACGACATGGAGCAAAGCTCAAATAACTGAAGAAGAAAGCAAGTCTTTCTTAATGTATGCAGCGTTATTTAAACCAGCATGGCCTCCCTGTTGACTTGCTCTACAAAACTGTGAGCGTTTTTTACTCTTTTCTGTATATATGCTTTGACCGAAGTGACCTTTGGCCGTAACGATCCAACTTTCTTTATTGTGTTTTCTTCTCTATATTTTTTCTCACTCATTATAACGCGGTTATTCTTTATTGATGTACTCGCGCGGTTGGCATTAAAACTTTCGTCAGCTAAGACAAAAGTGGGTGTCACGTAGTTTATTTACGTATAGACCTACTGGAAGGCCAAGGAACGCCAGAAGAGCGATGAACGTCAACAGGCCGAAAATACAAAACAAGCGCAAGCTCGGGTCGCGTGTGTGCAAAAACGCTGTGGCTTGCCGTTTCTTGCTGCTTCGTCGTCGTTCGCATAGTTCCCTACATTGGCCCCCAGTGAATAGCGTAGCCCACCTGGTGACTTAAGACGTAGTCACTATAGCGGGGTCGTAATTCGTCTTCAGGTGACTCACATGCACAATTTCTCGGCCACGACGGCGTAAGTCATGAGACTGTGTCAAAGGCTCAATCTCATAATTGACTGGTGACGTACGGGCGAGGATGCGGTAGAGCCCGTGGTATCGTGCCAGTAATTTTGAGGAAAGGCAGGGAGTACGCGGTGGAATCCAGAGCGAAACGAGAGCACCTGTCGTGAAAGTAGAGAGATGTCGGTCGGTGTGATGCTGTAGCTTCTGGTGGTCTTGGTCCTCGGTTGTCAGTGAACGGGCCAATCGTCTGCAATCTTCTGCGTACCTGGCAACATCAGAAATTGCAGTGTACTCAGAGGAGTCGGCCGTGTATGGGAGGATAGTGTCCAGCGTGCACGATAGTTCGCGCCCGTACAACAGAAAGAAAGGGGGAAACCCTGTTATCGCGTGCGCAGCGGTGTTATACGCATATGTGACGAATGGAAGGACAGTGTCCCAATTCGTCTGGTCTGAAGCTGTGTACATTGTCAACATATCACCGAGAGTGCGATTGAATCGTTCTGTGAGGCCATTCGTCTGTGGGTGATATGCTGTCGTCATGCGATGAACCATGTTGCACTGAGCGAGCAAGGCTTGAATGGCGTCAGACAAGAAAACACGCCCCCGGTCGCTAAAAAGTTCGCGGGGAGCACCATGGCGAAGAACGAAGTTGCGCAAGATGAAAAACGCAACTTCCCTCGTGGTTGCTGCGAGTAGTGCTGCCGTCTCCGCGTAACGCGTGAGGTGGTCCACGCCGACAATTATCCACCTATTTCCAGAAGACGACGTGGGAAGTGGTCCGTATAAGTCGATACCGACGCGGTGGACAAGGCAGAGGCTGAAGTGTACCGGCAGGGCGTTAAAGTGGTGCTTTACGTTGCTGGCATGCAGTACAAGCACGTACGTACTTGCGAACAAATGTGTACATGCCGCGCTGGTAGTACCGCTGACGTAGACGGTTGTACGTTTTGAGAGCGCCGGCGTGAGCGCTTTGCGGGTCGTTGTGGAAAGCTGTACAGATTTCCGAGCGCATGTGGTTGGGTATCACTAACAGCCACCTCCGACCTTCAGACGTGTAATTCCGTCGATAGAGGAGGTCTTCTCGAATAGCAAAATGTGTAACTTGACGGCGGATAGTTCTTGAGACGAAATTGCTGACGGATCAGTCAGAAAGGCAAGGAGTTGGGAAATCCACCCATCTTCGCGTTGTTCCGATGCCATGTCTGTGAAGTCAATTGGTGTTATGGTGAAGAAGGTGACGAGGAGGTTGGGTCAGCCGGTAGCGGCGAGCGGGATAGCGCATCAGCGTCGGAATGTTTGCGGCCGGATCGGTATACAACACGAATGTCGTATTCCTGTAGGCGAAGCGCCCAACGACCAAGGCGCCCCGACGGGTCTTTGAGCGATGATAGCCAGCATAGAGCGTGGTGGTCCGTAACGACCTCGAAAGGGCGGCCATAAAGGTATGGGCGGAACTTCGTCAAAGCCCAGACAATTGCGAGGCACTCTTTCTCCGTGACGGAATAATTACACTCGGCTTTCTTGATGGTTCAATTCGCGTAAGCGACCACGCATTCTTGGTATCCTGGTTTTTGTTGAGCCAATACAGCACCAACACCGACACCACTGGCGTGGATGTGGACCTCCGTAGGCACATCGGGGTCAAACTGACGTAGTATTGGAGGTGATAATAATAACCGCCGAAGCGCGGTGAAAGATTCGTCGCACTCTTTTGACCAAGCAGAAATGCTTTTGGAAGTTGTCAACAGGTTGGTAAGAGGCGCGATTATGGAAGAGAAGTTCCGCACAAATCGACGAAAGTATGAGCACAGGCCAATAAAACTTCGAAGCGTCTTGATGGAATTGGGCTTCGGATAGTCGGCCACGGCGCGGAGTTTCGCCGGATCCGGGAGAACACCCTCTTTGCAGATGGCGTGGCCCAGTATAGTGAGCTGACGTGCGGCAAAATGGCACTTCTTGATGTTAAGTTGAAGGCCAGCAGAGGTGAGACACGTGAGAACAGCACGAAGACGAACAAGGTGAGTCAAAAAGTCGCGAGAAAAAACGACGATGTTGTCTAGATAGCAGAGGCACGTGTTCCACTTGTAGCCGCGAAGGATGGTGTCCATCATCCGTTCGAAGGTAGCTGGGGCGTTGCAGAGTACAGACGGCATGACGTTAAACTCATACAGCCCATCAGGTGTTAGAAATGCAGTCTTCGATCGATCAGGATCAGCCATTGGAACTTGCCAATATCTTGAGCGTAAATCTAAAGAGAAGAAATATTCTGCTCCTTGCAAGCAATCGGGAGCATCGTCGATGCGTGGCAATGGGTACACATCCTTCTGAGTTATCTTATTGAGCCGGCGGTAGTCGACACAGAATCAGAAAGACCCATCCTTTTTGCGCAAAAGTACAACAGGGGACGACCAAGGGCTCTGCGATGGCTGAATGACACCACGCTTGAGCATATCGTCGACTTGTTCGTTGATAATACGGCGCTCTTCCGCTGAAACTCGATATGGTCGTCAGCGTAAGGGAGCATGAGTACCGGTGTCAATGTGGTGCGTGATGTTTGCTGTGCGACCCAAAGATGGTTGAGCGCAATCTAACCCAAAACGGAACTCTCGAAGAAGGGACAAGAGTTCGCGTCTTTGTGTCGGCGATAGCTCAGCGGCAACAGAGGGCTGGAATGAGTCTGGCGCGGGCAGTGTGGCCACAGGTGACGTCATAGCATTGAGCTGGAGGTGAGGTAGGTGTCCGGCAAACTCCAGAAGGCGCAAGAGGTCAACGTCTTGTATGTTACCCAAACATTCTCCGCGAAGTAAGGTAACTGGCGACGATAGCGGGTTCGCAACGAGCATGGTGGTAGCACCGGATTCCATGGTGAGTATGGCAAAGGGCAGGTGTAGGTTACGGCGGCGGGTAAATACGTCAGACGGAGTGAACAAAACAGTTCTGGCAGGAGCGGCCGTACAGGTCAGGACTACAAGGGTGGATATTTTCGGTGCTATTTACGTGTCTGCAACAACGACAAGTTTGTAAGCTTCAAAAAGAGAATCTACCAAACAAGAAGTTGGCAGCGGTGTAAGGGCAACTTCTGCACGTGAGCAATCTATGATGGCCCGATGATGCGAAAGAAAGTCCCATCCAAGAATGACTTCGTGGGAGCATGATGCCAGCACAAAAAATTCAATGGCATAAACTTCATCTAGGATAATGACACGCGCAGTGCACACAGCTGTAGGTTCTATGCACTGCGAGTTGGCCATGCAGAGCATCAGGCCCGAAAGAGGCGTCGTCACCTTTTTTAACTTGCGGCATAAGGTCTCACAGATTATGGAAACGGCGGCTCCTGTGTCGATAAGCGCTTGTGCGGCGGTCTCCTCAACATTGACGTCGATAACGTTTTGCGGCGAGAAAGATGGAGGCCTTAAGCACTTGGAATGGTATGCAGCTGTTGCCTCCGGAGCTGCAGTGACCAGTTTCCCTCTTCCGTAGCAGGTCGGCGACGCATAGGTGACAAGGAGCGTCGTCGGGGCGTTGGTGACCGATGGTTTGCGTAGGGTCGATGACCGTCAGTGGTGTACCTTGATGGCGTCCTAGATGACGACGCAATTGGCCTGCCCATGGTGTCAATTGAATGGGGATCTCGGCGACAGTGGCGGGCGACGTGTCCAGCGATACCACAGGCGAAACAGATCGGCCTATTATCCGGCGACCTCCAAGCGTCTGTGCGACGGTATAATAGAGCTGAAGATCTCGCGTAGGGATACGGCGCAGCAATTGGGGTTGTAGGCACGACATAGGGCGGCGTGGCTGGTTGGGCATACGGCATACGCTGTTGCGTAGGCCGAGCAGCGACGGCGGCGCACGTGAGAGGCGTAGTGACAGGTGGTTGCTGATGCATCGGCGGAAGGGCCTCAGCGACTTGGGTCCGAATGGCGTGTTGGAGGTCCGGTGCCAAAGCTTGCGCGGGCTCATGTGTCAGTGGCAGCAGTGACAGCTGGCGCGCTACCTCTTCGCGGACTAAGTCCTTGATTGTCGAAATTTGATTGATATGTGGGGTTTAACGTCCCAAAACCACTATATGATTATGAGAGACGCCGTAGTGGAGGACTCCGGAAATTTAGACCACCTGGGGTTCTTTAACGTGCACCCAAATCTGAGCACACGGGCCTACAACATTTCCGCCTCCATCGGAAATGCAGCCGCCGCAGCCGGTATTAGAACCCGCGCCCTGCGGGCTTGATTGTCGAAAGCAGCGGCTGCTGATCGGTAGGATGGGCAGCCAGGTGCAAGCTTGCAAGCATGTCTGGCGTCGTGAGGGCTTGACGAGCAATTGCGTGCTGCCTACGCAACTCATCGAAGCTCTGACAGAGAGAAATGAGCACAGCAATTGGGGGGGGGGGGATTTCTCGCGAGCAACATCTGAAAGGTGCCGTCGTCAATGCCTTTCAAAATGTGCCTGATTTTTTCTTCCTTGGGCATGGTAGAGTTGACGCGGTTGAATAGATGCAACACATCTTCAATGTAGCCCGTGTAGGTCTCGCCTGGTTGCAGCGCACGGTGACGTAAACGGTGCTCGGCTTGAAGCTTGCGTGCCGCAGGTCGTCCAAGGACGTCCGTAATAGCAGTCTTGAATGCAGACAACGTAGGAATGTCAGCTTCGTGGTTGTTAAACCACAGTTGCGCGGTGTCCGCAAGGTAGAACGTGACGTAGCCCAGCTTACTTGGGTCGTCCCATTTGTTACTTGCGCCGACTTTGTCGTACCTCACGAACCAATCTTCGACGTCAGACTCAGTGGAGCCCGTGGAGATATGAGGGTCTCGTTGAGGATACACGGCGCCGCAAGTGACGTGGACGGTCGAAGGTCCCACCTGGAGAGGCGTCTCGGTGGCCATGTTCGTGTCACGTAGAGGGGGAAGCTTACGGGAGCGAAGTTCCAGGTTTGTACAGGAGTCCCCACACCTCCACCAGATGTCACGTAGTTTATTTACGTATAGACCTACTGGAAGGCCAAGGAACGCCAGAAGAGCGAGGAACGTCCACAGGCCGAAAATACAAAACAAGCGCAAGCTCGGGTCGTGCGTGTGCACCAACGCTGTGGCTTGCCGTTTCTTGCTGCTTCGTCGTCGTTCGCATAGTTCCCTACATGGGGAATATTGTCACTGGGGGCCTGAAAGAGGTAACTGCATCCGGAAATGTGCAAGACACACACAGGGCCGCATTTCGTTTCGTTAAAGATCATTTAAGGCAGGAGCAATCCTGTTAAGGTTTCTTTATTACAGTCTGCACGGTCTGTCCTCGTGGATTGTACCTATACCACACACTATTTCACTTGAAAGACTAGCATCAGAGGTCATGGCCACTTAGTCAAGAATGTGTGCCACGCCGTTTGCTCAGAACATGCGAGCTCGACGATGTGGACCAATCTTATTTGTAATCTATAAGAAATTGTCAAGCACTGCCTGCCTTACCAGTGCTCTGATCAGTTATTCATGGCAAAAAAAAGTTTTGAGTAGCTATGTAATGTCCACTAGGATTATTTGCTGAACTTTGTAGTGTTCTTAGGAAGAATCCATACGTGTGCATTCCTTCCCGCTTAGTTACTACACAGATGTATATATTTCATTCATTTCCATTTTTATGAACCAATTATTGTTCTTTTGTCTCATGAACATGTCGTGTCTGTCGCTTGTAGGATGGACGATCCCGGGAGCATTAGCATGATGGGACATTCGGGGCCATCGCTACAATTTTACGTTCAAAGGCTTAAATACCTCATCAGACGCAGATCCAACGCTGTCCTTGAAAAGCACGGCGTGTAGTAGAAAAATCTTCCTGCAACGCTTTTCTAAGAAGCCGCGGAATGTATTGAGTGAAGGAGCATATTGCCTCGCGATTTCACCACAACAAAATTTTCTAAAATTCGTCCAGTACGAGCGGATCAAGTTAAAAAATTTGTCACATGCTGAAATTGCATTCTGTCTTCCCTTGTCCCGCCGAAAACACTAGAAGCTAAGCAGAGAAGGAGGGCACTGAGAAAGAAATTACGTCATGTATGCCTCGTAACCTTGAACACATTTATTTTGGAATGCGCGGCTTTTCAGTGCTATTACGCAGGCAGCGTGGACAACTGAAAGTCACGGTGTTAGAAGTAAATTGTTCTAAGTCCATGGTCGAGGCTTTCCGTGGCATGTTTAGTAACGACCGAGCACGCCATGCCCAAATCAGCCAATGGCTCATACAGATATGTTTATTTTATTTATTTACAAATATTGCCAGCGCTTACAGGCCTATTACAGGAGTAAAAAACAAAAAACAGAAAAATGGTCACTTTAAAATCAGAACAAAATTAACCTATACAATTGGAACATACTGATAAATGGACAATAATGATGCAGTAAACCACAAAACGCAATCAGATGATAAAGTTGACCTGCGACCTGGGAATTTTTGCGCCTGTGGCGTCATTTGTCTAGTGAAAAGAAAGTGATTTTCTTGCTGACTATCATAACTTATTGTAGATTTTAGGCTGCGTGCTTCGCTATATACCATTTGGCTCACGTGTTCTTGAAAGCCTCTTCTATTTATTGGTAGCGTTTTCTGACCATGATTCAAAAATGTTGCAGTCCCTCTTTATTAAAAAAAAAGACTGACATGATTCGTTATGTGTTTGTCTGAGACGAATAAAGCGCGAAAGATTCTGTTTCTCCTCACAAGATGTATTCATTTCTGCTCCGAAAGCTTTGTGAACCTCACTTTGATTTTAAACAGCCCCCGTGATCACAAATCTTTGACCAATTGATGGCGTCATCGTGAGACGTCATACTATGTGACGGCATAGCGACGTCATACTGACGTGACATGATAAGCAGGCTTGATCAACGTCTCCCCTATTTTATCGACGCAAGCCAGATGCATGTGCCCTAACCAGCCGTTCACCATCCTCTTCTATAGCCCATTATCTGCTCTCACCCACCACCTATCCATCGCGTGTGCTTTGCTGTCACGGAGGAGGGAGCCCCCTCACGCAGTGCCTGACGACGGAAATCATGTGAAGTATTTTTTCGTGCAGTAATGTACAGATCCGTGGGGCGGTGTCTTGCATTCCTCTTGTTCACTATGTTGGTGGTCACGCTGTCTCTCTATATAAAAGGTACGGTGTTTTGAGATAAGATGTTGCCGTTCGTGGCGCTATGTGAGCAAGCAATGGGGAAGCGTCACTGCAACGCTGCTGTCAGTCACTGTGCCATGATGCAGTGGTGGCGTTGCTTCGAGCCACAAAAAAAAAGGAGCAAAAAGGAACAAATCGGACAGACGTACGATATTTTGGTGGAAAACACACCTATCGCATCTCCGGGAGAAAACGCCCGGAAGCAATGCAGCGTCGCATCACGACCACTCCCTGAACGAAGGTGAACCGACAGCTCCTGTTGATAAGCGCGCCTTTGCACTGGCATTGAAATAAATAAATGAGGCGTTGAAGTGATATGGCGTGTAAGAAAAGTCGAATGATACCAAAAGTCACACCGCAGGAATTTCGTAATGTGTGAGCTGTTCAAACTGCCCAATCATTATTAAGGGTTCGGCAATAATCACTCGTCACCATCATCAGCAACAGCGTCAATTTATCGTGCAGCTACGTAACTGCGCGTATCACCTTGCTCACGCGCCATCAGCTCTTTGGTAAACTCAGCATGCACACATCGGAAAAAGACATATAGAGAACTCAGACACGCTCAGAGGGTCAATTTAATGCAAAGGAGACGTACTTTGTTTTTGCGGCTCACTTGTCTTATGCGAGTGTAGCTAGGCTTTCACATTCTTGTGCTACAAGACAAATTTTCAACGAGTGTCATGCCATTTTATCTCGGGCAACCAAGGTGCATATAGGCAGAAATTTCTTGGCCAGAAACTCAATGCCATGCCGAAACAAAATGTGGGGTGGGGGCACGGGCCCCGTGTGCCACCTCCTAGCTTGGCTCCTGCTTCTACCAATTGCAAGTGCCGCTATATATAACAGACTTATGACCCGGTGCAGGTGCTCAGCAGCGCCGTGGATCGCGCGGCGTACGACCGCGCGCACCCCGCGAGGCAGCCAACCATGCGTCAAAGGCTGGCGCAGCGATTCAGAAGTCACGGCTCCAGGCAGCTGTTTACCATGTCGCTGAGACATGCCGAAGAAGTGATCCAGGAACTGTTTGAGAAGATCTGGGTGAGTGTCGGTTTCTAAAGCTTGCTTAGAAGCGTTTACGGATATTACCGAAAATGTCCTAACGGCTGATAGCTTGTTGTTGATCCTCATTGCACACCTTTATTACTCGCTTCACTTTCCAGCAAGAAGTACCGGTATACACCAAACAAAATATAACCTTTATTTTCAATCCTCTGGCGGTTCCCTGCGTTACGGGTTGAAAAAGTTACATCGTCAAAGTGGGATGCTGCGCTATGCAGTACGGATTTAAGGATGCTGCTATGGGCAGTCTAACAGATTCACGACGCGGTGGACAGGTTAGGCTTATCTGTCCCGACGTGGAAGCGGCCCGCTACGTGCTAGTTGACGGCCCGATGGACGTAAATAAAGTTTTTTTTTTCATACCATACGATACCTAGTGGTGTTTGATATGTGGTAGTCACGCAATTTTGAGTTGAACGTAAGATCAATGCATCATACACCGATGGATGGATTGATATGGCTGTGCCCTTTAGATCGGGTGGTGGCTAACGTCACCAAGGCGTAATACTTAATGAACCAAAAACCAGATTTTTTTCCCTTTAAATAGTGAGGTTGAGAGCTCGTACTTTGCAGTGAAGGGTTTAATTTTCACTCGTGCCTTGACTTTAGCCACCAATCAGATAACCTCCTTCTAGTTAATTCGACCCGCTTAAAGTCTCTTTTGCCCTCCGTGTCCCTAAACGCCAGTGCTTTGAAAAACTCTGTGCCATCATCCTGAACTATAGAGTGAAGCCCTTTACAGAATATTATCAAGTGTTCGGCAGTTTCCTCCTCCTCTCCACACGCACTGCATACCTTGTTTCCCCCTCCGTATTTGGCCCAATATGTCTTGGTTCACAATACTCCCGTCCTGGCCTCAAACAGTAAAGAACTACCCTGAGTATTATCATACATCCTTTTCTTGGCAATTTCCTGTTTAAAAGTTCGATAGATCTCGAGTGCGGACTATTTAATCATGCCAATTCTCCACATATCGGTGTCAGCTTCCTTCATTTTCTTCTTAACCGATATTGTTTTTGGTTTGGCCCCGTGCTGTATTCTAACTATTTACCAGTCCATTTTCTGGTTCGCTTCCTCCATTTTGTATAAACATTCTTCATGTACAAATAGCTGAATACCTTCCTAGCCTAACGTTCCTACCCCATTTCTATCAATCTTATTAAATTCTACCTTTCTGCTAGCTCTCCTGCCCTCAAATGATGTCCATCTCATATCACCTTGTACTCCCTGATTCGGTGTATTCCCGTGAGCTCCTAAGGCAAGCCTAGCTATTCCACGTTGCTTAATTTCTAATCTTGCTTGAACTTCTAATCTCATGCACAGGACCACGTCACCAAACGTCAAACACGGGACCATGACACCTTTCGAAATCCCTCTCACAACGTCACACCTAATAAATTTCCACAGTGCCCGGTTTTTCATCACCACTGCATTTTCGTTACCTATAGTCATCTCGTATATTTCGTGTTCCTTTAGGTACTCGGCCCCATTGTTTATCCATACGCCCAGATATTTGTATTTATCGGTTAACTCAAGCGTGGCCTCCTGTATTCTAAGCTCACTACCTTCATTGTCTTTAGAAATCATGACTGCTGATTTTTCCTTACTGAATCTGAAATCTAACCTATCTCCCTCATTACCACATATGTTCATTAATCTTTGCAAATCTTCCTTGTTGTCAGCCATAAGCACTATAACATCTGCGTTCATCAATGCTGGTAGTGCCTGTTTAATGAGTTTTCCTTGTTTGACGAAAGAGAGGTTGAAGCCCAGTCCACTTCCCTCTAATCTGGCCTCTAATTCTTGTAGCTACATCATGAATAACAAGGGTGACAAAGGACACCCCTGCCTAAGCCCCCGTATTACCTCTGCAGCCTTAGATACCTGTTTTTCCTACTTTATAACTGCCATATTACCTTTATAGATATACTTTAAAAGATTAGTGACTCCATCTTTCACACCTAGTGTCTCCAGTATTCCCCACAAGTCCTCTTGAACCATGCTATCGTATGCTCCCTTGATATCCAAAAATGCTAGTCACAGGGGCCTGTGTTCTTTTTCTGCTATTCCGATGCACTGCGTCACTGAGAACAGATTGTCTTCCAACCTCCCGTGTTTCCGAAACCCATTCTGCAGTTCCCCAGCACCCCCTCATCATCTATCTATGCTTCCAGTCTTTCCTTTATAATCTGCGTCGCCAGCCTGTAGATCACTGATGTCACTGTTATAGGACGGTAGTTGTTTATGTCAGCTTTGTCCCCCTTTCTTTTATAAATCATGCCCATCCTGCTAAGTTTTCATCCATCGGGGACTTCACAATCAATTATTATTTTGCTCACTGCCTCTCTCAAATCCTGCTTAGACTTCGGACCTAATGTCTTTATAAGCATAAATCGAATGCCATCTGGGCCTGTTGATGTACTACTAGGAACCCTCTTCTCAGCCCTTTACCACTCTCGTTGTGAAAATGGAGCCATCGCACCACTTGATTCATCCTTGTCTATTGTGGTGCATAAACCACTTCTTTGATGAAATTTTTCTGTTATCTTTGTTCTTATATATTCAATAGCTTCGTACCCTTCTAGTCTAGCACCTTGAGCTGTAGTTATAAACCTCTTCTCTAGGCTCGTCTCATTTCTTGGGGAGTTTAGATGGTTCCGAAATTTCGCAGTTGCCTTTCAATCTTTTTTATGTACTTATCCCAGCCACTGAGCTCCATTTCTTCCAATCTTTTCATTGATCAAAAGGGATGCATCCCTTCTACAGGTTAGATAGATTTCCCATTTTCTTTCAACATATGTCGGTTCACCCCGCTTCTTAGCATATCTGTGTTCCCTAGAGGCTTCCTGACGTTTTGCTATGGCTCTCTTTACTTCCTGATTCCACCATCTCTTGGGTTTTTGTCTTCTTTTCCGGGGTGACTTTTCACGTGGCTTAGGAAGCTCTAGCTCAAACAGGCTAATTAGATACGTCTTTGTCCACACTATTTTATTATCCTAAGCGATTACTTTCTGAATTTGTTTAATAGCTATCTCTATTTGCCTTTCTGAACAAAAATTTTCCTGTAGTTGCTCATCTTGTCTCCTTCCCACTTTCACAGCTCTTCCAAAACTTAGCTGGATACGTTTGTGATTACTAACCAGACTTCTGGAGCCACCTTCATCTATGTGCATTCCCCTGAGCTTATCATACACCCTATGCGACATCAGTGCGTGATCTATCGTCGACTTCAGCCTTCCTACCTCCCATGTTATTTGCCCTTCACACTTCTCGGTACTGTTCCAAATGATCAAATCATGCCTTTCACAGATATCCGTGATCATTTTGCCGGTTGTGTTAGTATACCCATCTATATCTTCTATGTGTGCATTCATATCTCCTAGTATATTTATCTCGGACTCTCCTCCTAACTCCTCAATGTCCTTTGATATACACTCTACCATTGCCTGATTTTCCTTTCTGGCCTTTGCCCCCGTACAAAAGTACACCAAACCAAGGAGTGTCATTTGCCTGAAACTTTCCCTTTTAGCCATAAATGTTCTTTGCACTCCTGCTTGGCCCTTTGCCAGTCTGTACTTTTATGAATGAATGCCCCAATACTACCCCCCTTTCTGCTGCCTTCTGTTCCATTACAATATTCCCACGAGTAGTCTGGATTGTTAGGAGGTTGTTCCATGTCCCTAAGATGTGTTTCTACAAAACCGTATACCATCGGCCTCTCCTCCCTTAACTGTTCTTCTATCTATTCCCACTTCAGCCTATTCCTGCCACCCTGCATTTTAATATATCCAAGTCTGAATTGGCTCGGCTCTCGTGGCTACGTCTATTTCTGCCCCCGACTCTACCTATCTTAGATACTGCTTCCACTTTGGAATCGTATCTGTCCATAACACCTGTCAAAGTGTCTCCCTGGTTGTTTTCCTCATTACTCGCTATCCCGAACCCCGAAGGGCCCACGTGCCCCTGAAAACAGCTACTGCGCGTCCTGCAAGTCACCAACCTGCCTCACGACCTAGCCGCCCATTGAAGTGAATTCTGTCTCGTCGAAAACCACCCCACCTATGCACCTCTCTGTTTATTTCCACCACCTCAAAGCCTTTCTCTCGACTCATCCGCCATATCTCTTGGTTTGCATTGACAACCGCTCTTTGCAGGTTGCTATCACGCACTGTTACCTCCGGTATCAAGGATATTACTACCTGTACCTGAGAAGTGGCGTGCATGTCATCGACTCTTTCGCCAGTGTAGTCGCTTGTCCTGCCGTATCTTCATTTAAGACATCGTGTAAACCGCCTGAAATTATCACGAGTTTTCGTCCATCAGCCAAATTTTTGAGTTTTGCGCTCGTTTGCCTCATGACTGCTTCCAGCTTGCGTCCTGAGAACGTCTCTTCTGCAACCCTCTTGTCACCTCTTACTCTCTCTCTGATTGCTTCTGCGCATCGATTTAAATTCGAGTCCCCGGCGATTATCACATGCTGTGACGTTTCAGCTGGAGCGTCCTGCACCTGGGGGTTACTTGCACCTGTGACGCCGGCTGCTTTGTCCCCTCCCAGCCCCACCACTACTTGGCTGAAGCTTGGCCTTGCGACAATTGAACTGGCTGAACCTGTTTTTCCAAACTTGCTAGCTCTTTCTTCTCCGCCGTTCTGGTTGCCGGTGTCCTAGTGTTCTCTCCGTCAGCCGCTCCTTTTTTTTTTTCATCTTGGCTAGTTCTTTCTCAGCGGACTTCAGCCTTTCTCCCATTGCCCTCGTTTTTTCTTGCTCTGTCGCCAACGCAGTCTCCAGCTTGGTGATTCTCAACAGCAGTTGACTCTGGGAAACCATCGTTTTCTCTATTTTTTCCGGGACCTCACATTGCCTACACTTCTCGTCAGTCTCTTCTCCATTTGCTTCTGCACTTGGGTTCATTTCGAAACTCAACCTGTATCCTGAACACTTTACAGCCTTTTTAACCATGTCTTAATGACACCAATTGTCCTTATGACTTGTCTCACTCGTGAATTACAAAATACGATCCCTGCTCTACGAAAAAGAGAAAGTCTGAGCTCTACAACAAAAATTTGCGTGTTCAATGTATGTGCACCTTCCCCACGGGGCGGCAAGAGAAAAAAACACAAAGAAACAAACACACACACACACACACACACTCACTCAAACTAGTAACCAACTGGTGACTGACCCCCGGAAAAGCGTACAATGCAATAAGTGCTTCAAAGATTTTAACTGCTGCCTTATTAATTATAAAGACAAGCTGAGAACAAGCAAAGCCACTTATCTGCGCAGACTATCGGGATGAATGGATGGATTGGATGGATTGTAATGGCTGTACTTTTTAGATCGGGCAGTGGCTAACGTCACCAAGCCGTAATACTTAGTGAACCAAAAACTAGATTTATTTTTTTCCTTTAAATAGTAAATTTGAGGACTCGTAATTTGCAGTGAAGGGCTTGATTTTCACTCGTGCCTTGACTTTAGCCACCAATCAGATAACCTGCTTCTTGTTAATTCTACCCGCTTAAAGTCTATTTGCCGTCCCTGTCCCTAGACCCCAGTGCTTCGAAAAACTCGGCGCCATCATTCTGAACTATAGGGTGAAGCCCTTTACAGAACATTGTTAAGTGTTCGGCAGTTTCCTCTTCCTCTCCACACGCACTGCATACCGTGTCTACCTCTCCGTATTTGGCCCGATATGTTACGGTTCGCAATACTCCTGTCCTGGCCTCAAACAGTATAGAAATACCCCGAGTATTATCATAGAGCCTTTTCTTGGCGATTTTCTGCTTAAAAGTTGAATAGATCTCTAGTGTGGACTTCTTAATCATGTGGATTCTCCACATATCGCTCTCAGCTTCCTTCACCTTCTTCTTAACCGATAATTCTTTTTTGGTTTGGCCCGCTTATGTTTTTTAAGTATTTACCAGTCAATTTTCTGGTTAGCTTTCTCCATTTTGTATCGACATTCTTCATGTACAAGTAGCTGAACACCTTCCTAGCCCAACGCTCCTCCCCCATTTCTCTCAATCGCTTCTGAAATTTTATCTTGCCCCTTCGAAAAACCCCTTTTGAAAAAGGGCGGCCCTAGCGCCGCGGACGTGAACTACAGCCTGCCACCTTTGTGAGGGCACCGCAGCAGACGACGCACGCTGTGTGTCCCAGCGACGCCGATGCGCGTTTCTTGCAGCGCACACAGACCCCTCTTGCGTTTCTGCAGGAAGCGGACCGCTTCGGGAGGGCACACCCATGAGAGTCTCTTGCAGGCCGCGTTCATGCATTGCCAGTCATAACAAGCCAAACTGCTCGTCCTACCTGTTGAAGGGTACAAAATATTGCTCATTTTGCAGTGAAAGCAGCTCAGAAAGCTTATCGGAGAGTACTAGGAGCTCGTTCAAGCTAAAAAGCGGTGCGATTGCAGTGAATGATTCGGAGAACTAGCTGCCAACACAAATATCACACTGCAGTGCTCTTGCATTTGGTGGCTCGCTTTCCATGGCCTCATGACGGCGCTAGCTATCCCACGCTCATTTGCAAAGCGAAACTAACGAAAAGCTCACCGTCAGGTGGCGTACTTATAAAAAGGGTCTATAGACTGAATAACGTAAACATCGTACTTCATATGGAGAAGAGGCTCAGCTATACTATTGCAAGGAATAAAACAACAACCCCAAGAAATATGCTTGTGAACACTTGCCCGCTAATAAGTATCTGTGAGTAGCACTGGTCTTCCTTTCCTCTCTTGTTGTTGTTTTATTTTTTTTCTTTTGCACTATGCCTCGGCACTTACGCACGACCACCTAGCCATAAAAACAATTGTTCTAACGCAAAAATTAAACGTAAATAAACGGTAGTTTTTGACATGTGTTCGCACTCTTGCTGTATTGTGTAGATCAATGTTCATTCAATCTATGGTAATATAACGACAAGGATCTCGCACGACACAGTTGCAATCACTAGAGAATTTTTTTAAACTGTAAATATAGAAAAGGTTGTTATGTTGAATGCCAATGTGATTGCTAGCGAGTCTTTGTTTTTACATTTTCTTCTTCTTCTGTGGAGACAATTCAGGACACATACCTTTCAAGATATATGTGGATAGATGTCCCTGTATAGGTTCACATTCGGTGTAATAACACCACATAGCGTAATTAAACACGAAAAAAAAAGAAAATTAGCACCACATGTGCACTTCTTGGATAACTTTGCTACCATTGTGTGAATAACTGTTAGGGTGTGACGTCCTAAACCTATGATACGAGGACGCCGTAGTGGAGGGCCGCGGAAATTTTGATAATTTGGAATTGCTTCACGTCCATCTGCGTCTACGCACACGGGTACGAGGCGTTATCGCCTCCATCAAAAATGCGGCTACCACGGCCGGAATTCGATCCCCTGCTGGTCAGCAGTCGAGCACTTAAAGCACTAGACGCTGTACAACTATTTCGATTAGCCACTGTCTATGCGAAAGATCCCACTTTCATCGAAGTGCTTTTCACACACATACACACACACTTGCCGAAAAATGTAAATCCTCCAGTTTCTTGTCACGGTATAGCGCGCTACCACTTTTACCGCCGTTTGCTATAGTTAGTCAGTCACAACATAAACACCTTTTTGTAATTTACGTTGTAACCGGGTCGACACCCGTGCACGCCGCATGCACGCGGCATCCTTTTCGATCTTCAAGCAAAAGACGCAGAACACCAAACGTGTGGTGAAAACGACGCGATGCGGCAGTCGCCGTGTACAGGATGCATGCCCCGCGCGGGAATGCAGCACCGCCCCGCGGCCGCCGCTTGCAGCGCACAATGCTCTCTCATTTCTTGTACTGCAACTGGTCTAGCTATCTGTTTTACCACCTCTGTCATACAGGTACGGCAGAGCTACATGACCGGAAAAAATTTTTTGAAGGACTCTGGTATAACTAACAAAGTGCTCGAAAATGTGCCTTCACTGCGCAGTTTTGTTGCGTCCACATATCATGGCTATGGGCAGGCGCCTTGCTACCATTGATGATGGAGGCATGGCCTTTTTAAGCAATGCATGGATCACCTCAACTGTCGTTGCCGTTGTGGGTGCGATTACACACAAATACACACACAAACACACACACAAGCACACACACACACACAAACACACACACACGCACGCACACGCACCCACAGCTGCGCGCACGCGCTCCCACGCACATTGTTTGCTTGGTTATGCAGCTAACGCCGACGACGCCAGAAAAGAGGCAGAACTACGCTGTATCTAAAAAGCAGAAAATTACGTTATAATGACCATCTTATTCTATTAAAATACAAAGTGGCGCGAGTTGGTGCGTATTCATGATTCAATGGAAGGGGGCGCACACCGGCGCTCACAGGTGGTCACCCAGTTGCAGCTGGTTATCGACTGTAGCTGCCGCTTTTTAAGGCTCAAATGCGTATGTGCATAGAATTTAACCCCGGCGTTCGACTGCCCTCCCGTGGCACTGGCGTTAACGCGAGTGATGCAAAAAGAGAGCTCCATCATGTGAAGTCATGTTTGTCAGACCGCTAAAATTGTGATTTCTCTAACGTGGTTATGACGTTATGTTATGTGAAAACGTGATCTCATGGCGTCATCACTCGGTGAAACGTGGTCAGATCAGGTAGGTAATGTGAAACCCCATGAGAGGCAGAGAAGCTTTTAGGGATGGAGAGAGAAGTTGGCTTTTGCTTGCGAGTCTTCTATAAGGCGAATGCATATAAAGAGACACTGCGAGTTTCGCTTCCTGGAAACTGCGTTTGTTCCGCTACAGCTAGGAGATATGTATCGCGCCTCTTCTCTTTATCACAGAAACCACCGAGCGGTGACCTGGGCTCATACGCGCCCAAGGAAAGGGCCTCGGCGGCTGAAGATTCCTCCACTGCCCAAATTACCGCCGGCCGCGCTCGTGATGGGCACATGCGGGTGCGGGGGGTGGAAGACGGTGGCTTGCTGTCTCGAAGCGAGCAGAGAGCCTGGCTGCACCCATCGGCTACCGACAGTCTGGATGTTCCCACTCAAGCATCCTTGCCACCGAGCTCCTCCTCGTCGTCCAGCACGGGCGACGTTCTTTTGTGGGAGAGTGTCTCCTCGTCTCTGGACAGCCTAGCTGGCTCCCGGAGGACACTGCGCAGATTCAGGAGCATCGCACCAGTACACGGTGAGTGAACGAAAGAAGGCAATTAACACCTCGTAGTATTGAATGGAAAAGTAAATATGTAGTTGATAAGTTATCCGGAAAGCCTAATCCATGATAAGCAGGTTTACCAAGCGTGACTGCCTGTATAAGCTCTCGGTTCTTGTCACGCAAGACATTCAGCAATAAACGTATACCTGGGTCTTCACAGCTGCCTGTAAACGCGTGGTGGAGCCTTTCATGTTGAGTTTATCGGTGCACACATCGCGTGAAATGTACAGGTATAGACCATTTTGCGCAAAGAATCTGGGTCCCGTCAGCTGGTAAGCCATTGTTTTCTTGTTTTTGTACATCGCAGCATAAATTGACAAGGCCATGAAACATCGTTTGCACCAACCCAACCATTCTCATGCATGAGCGTTTATCAGAACACCTCTTCGTTCAGTTGATAAAGGTATAAAACACAAAGCTTAACAGCCAAGCATGGCGGCACTCAGACCAATCTGTGAAGTAGTCTACAAGAAAAATTGCAGAAAAAGAAGCGCAATATTTTTCATTTATTTTGTTCATTTATTTATTTTCATGCTATCAGGGCCCGATGGCACTACAAAGAAATCTGGTTAACAATCAGTCTTTAATCGCAACTTTGTGAGCAAAAACATACATAAAGCGCAGTATCATTAACACCACTCCTCCAGCGCAGTATGTTTCTTCGTTGCACTCGTCTTTTTGTGCCCGGTGTTCCCGGTAAACTGCAAACCAGCTTCCCGAATCAATGTTTCGCTCGGGGACAAATATAACATTCTCCTGTTTGCGAGCAGAAAATTTACTTCCTACAACTAGAATGAGCGCCCAGTCATTTTTATTTTGAAACCGACGTTTTAACGCTTCCAGTGGCCGGCCATCACATTGATTTGACCACGCTGGCCATCGGCAGCGAATCTCGACTCAAGCCGCAGGCGACCCGCCAGCGCAGGGACGCCCACCCAGCCGTTGTCCGAGGCCCGGGTTCCACGCAGCCGAAGCTGTCTCGGAGCCAACCGAGACCGAGGCCCGAGGAGGAGCCGAAGCCGAAGCCGAAGGCCACCGATGGCGAAGCCGCGCGGCGCCAACAGCCCGTGCCACCGGGTTGCCATAGAGAGAAGACGGCCGCCGTCTCACAGGGTGACTGCTCGTCCAGGGATAAGCGTCGGCGAGAGTGCGCAGACGCGCCCAGCGCGTCCACGAGCTCCGGATTCATGGTTTCTGTGAAGTCCGCCGTGGCGAGGACAAGCGTGGGCGTAGCCAAGCTGTGTCGCTTCCTGTAATACGCACGCACCGCCCGCTGCCATTTTTTGTTTCATTTTCAAATTGCCCCGCAGCCATTCCATTCAGTAAAATAAATTGCCCATTTGCCATTGGTTAAGCATAAATGTGACCCAAATAATTTTAGTCGTCGGCGCAGTGGCTTCTCGTTGATGAAAGTGCTTGAATTACTGGCAATAAAAAATAAATGGCGAATATTTCTTGCAGTCATCAGCATCAGAAATATGTTGCGGAAGAACGAGTTCTATCATTGCACGATGTTTTGTCACCTGATCACTGAAAGAGCCGATGCTGTTACGCGCTTGCACAGTTGGAGGTCACATCACACAGTCTACTTGTTTGCCCCATTCCTTAGATTGGCACCCGTTCTGCCACATTTGTAGCGGCGATAGAAGAGAGACGTGAGATGACGTCGAAGGCGGCCGATGGGGCCGTGCCGATTTCGCCACTTTATTCTAGGCCTGAAGCGGAGCCACGTCGGCTACCAGCGTCATCTTCGACGTCATCTCACGTCTCTCTTCTCTCGCCGCTACACATTTATTTCGCCATTGCATTCTTCGCCTACGCACTGCTTACCTTACCTACTAAAGTTAATTCTTCCTCACCACGATTTCCTCCGCTCTTTCTAACTGGTGGTTCCGGCTTTGTTAGCTCCATAGCGACCCGCTTAAATGGCACACTTCTCTGCACGCCGTTCGGTTTAGTTGGTTCAACGTTGTGTTCATCGTGTTCCTTGTTTGCCAATACAATAATAATAAAATGTGAGGCTTGACGTACGGGAACCGTGACACGAGCATGAGTCATGCCATAGTGGAGGCCTCCCGGTATTTCGACTACCTAGGACTCTTCGATGTGCACTGACATCGCTCAGTAGACAGGCATCTACCATTTCGCCTCCATCGAAATGCGACCGCCGCGGCTGGGATTGAACCCACGGCCTTCGGGTCAGCAGAAAAGCACCGTAACCACTACGACTACAAGGCGGTCCTATTTTTTTTGCCGATGTTTGAAAGGGGGGGGGGGATGCAGGTCTTATGAAGCTTGGTATATTATTCTTTGTTTGCCCTAACAGAAGGTAATTGCCATTGTAACTAGTTATTGGTTGACTCATTCTTGTACTAGAAAATGTGCTGCCTTGACGTCTTCAGTCCTGCACATACAATGAGCGCGCTATTCGTGTGTTTATGTGAATGCATGATTCTGTCATTGTCCTCGCCCAGCACTTAGGCTAACAAGCCAGGCGACCAAACTTTCCAAAATCTTTAGCATATCTAATTTAAAGTCTGTTCTCTGTATCTGTTGCATTGTCTCATATTTACTGAAACAGTTGCATGTCAGTGGATATGGCATTTTCATATTCTGTAATAAGTCGCTGTCTCTGCAAACAGGGAGTGTAACAAAAAAAAAGTGGGAAGTTTGCCCGAAGTTGTGCAAAGCTTAGCACAGCAATGCTGGTCAGTTCTTAGCTCTTCATGTTGCAGCATGCTAATCACAGCACCAGCATCTATTGGAAACAGCGTGCTTAGCGGAGAAAGTGGTACCCAAGAGACGGCGATGGGTGGATCCAGAGTTTGCGCACCACTCCGGATGCGTTGGAGTTGCTGTCCCTGAGCCAAGGTGTAAAAAACTGTGGCGGTTGCTATGGCGATGCCACGGTGGCGGCTCCTCTTCAGAACAACGTTGGCTTTGGGAGTGTCGATTTGGGCTTGTTGGTATGGTAGCGTGATAACTGATGGTAGCTCACGCTACAGTCACGGACAAAAGAAGAGTCACCGCAGCGCTATTGCGTGTCGAATATAGATCTGGATATATCGAGCGCAAATGGCACGCAGCTGTGATGGTTTCTAAGGCAACGGCGCAGCAAGGGATTTTCGTTAACAGACATCTTATTGCCAGCTTTAACGCCTTCGCTGCTAAAAACAGCAGGTGCGCCCTGCTTTGGGTCAAAGTTAATAAACCCTGCGTGGAGAGTATAAAAATGTAGCTTTCCACTTTGGCGTCCGTCACAAACCACAGAGCACTTTCCGGCCGTTGAACTCTAGAATGTTATTTTATTTTCATCGTACTACCAGTGATAACACTAAAGTCTCGCAACAAACAAACCGACCGACCGACCGACCGACCGACCGAATAATAGTAATAGTAATAATAATAATAATAATAATAATAATAATAATAATAATAATAATAATAATAATAATAATAATAATAATAATAATAATAATAATAATAATAATAATAATAATGGTTTTATTGTTATTATTATTATTATTATTATTATTATTATTATTGTTGTTGTTATTATTATTATTATTATTATTATTATTATTATTATTATTATTATTATTATTATTATTATTATTATTATTATTATTATTATTATTATTATTATCTTACGCTATATACCGCTAGAGTGCCTGGATCGCTGAGTGGTTAAAACACTTCCATTTGGATTGTGGGTGCGCAGGTTCAAATCTCGTCTCACGAAAACATTTCCCTTATAAAAATTCTCTTTTTATACGTATATCGCCACTTCTCTTTACTTGTTTGCAACTTACTATGCTTCTCTCACTCTACACAGTTATCACATCCTGCGCCGCAGAAATCGACGTGTTATGACAACGACGACGACGACGACGACGACGATGATGATGATGATGATGATGAACGTTCAGCTTTGCTGGCACTCGCCCACAAAGGGGGATCGGCCAAGAACCGGGCGGCAGGATCATCAAGTGTGCTAAGTCAGGCATTCAGGTAGTCTCGTAGCCGTAAAGAATAACAATAGACTAACAAGGTAACCTTTTTGTTGCCATTATGTACTCGCACACAGCAGATAAAACCTCCCTGTGGCTATTACCTAATGTAATCCCTCCGAAGGATAAAATTAGTTCCACGTTTATTTTTAAACCTAGCTTCTCAATTGGTTCAACCAGGTATCTTTTCCTTTGATAAGCATATTATTGACAGTATAAAAAGAAATTATCTATTGATTCCGATTCCTTGCAAAAGAGACACAACGGAGATGCTCTTGGTCCAGCTTTATGTAGGTAGTAATTCAGATGCGGAATTCTGCATCGTAATTTGGTGATTGTAATTTCTAACTGCCGAGATACACACCACTGTTTGTTCCAGCAAAATCTTAGATGTACGAAGTGTCTGACTTTCTCCAATGATAATTTTTCTATTTCTTTGTGAAAACAAGCATTTCTATATCTGAGTACTGTTACGTAGGCGAAATCAGGTAAAATAGGTGAGAGTGGTCCGCTTAAAGATGCTTTGGCTAACGAGTCTGCCATCTCACTTGGATAAATCCCGCAGTGGCCAGGTATCCATAGCAAGTGAAATTTTTTCAGATTTGCTGGTAATAAACTGCTAATCATACTCAATACTGTCAAATTTTTTGCTGTAGATAAAGCAGTGCATACTGAGAGAGAATCGGTAAGTATGATCGCTTCTGATTCGCTTGCAGAAAGTTTACGAAGCGCTAGAGTGAGTGAGTAAAAACTTTATTGAACATGTCCGGCGTCATTGAGCGGCGTGGGGCTACAAGCACTCCGGCCTAGGGGACGGCCTCGAGTCCTTGGACCCGGGCGGCATCCTGGGCTTGCCGGACGGCCCACAGTTGATCGGCAAGGTCGTGGCTGAGCAGAGCCGCCTCCCATCGCGCCTCGCGGTTCGAGACTGCCATGTCTACCGGGTTCGTAGGGGACTGCTGCGCGTTACCGGTACACTTCCACAGCATGTGCTGCAGCGTCGCTCTGGCTCCGCACGCCTTACACGCGTCGGACGTATAAATGCCTGGGTAGCAGAGGCGAAGGATCACTGGATTAGGGTACGTGTGTGTCTGTAGTCTCCAGGCAACCTGCTGTTTCTTGTTTAGTTTGGCGTGGGGTGGTGGATATTTGCATCTGTTCAGTCTGTAATGTTGCGTGATGTCTCTGAAAGTGGTCATGCGATCCCCCCACGTCCATTCCCGCATCGCTGTCGAAGTGTGCATAATTCAGCGATGAATATAGGCGCGTAATTTGGTAATCGAACTGAGAAAGACCAGTCGAGAGAAGTACAGAAGATGCCTACTCCAGCCTTCTCGTTCAATACGGATGCATCCGTCGCAATAATGTTGTTTATGGACATATGAGTCAAGTAATCTTTTAACTGAATATTTAAATATTGAAGGGGCAGTTGTTTCGCATTAGAGGGGAAAATATCATCAAATTTATTTCCAAGTTTTGAATTAGGCGTCTTCGTTATTCCAATCTGATAAATATTTACATTGAGAGGCTCTAGCAGCGCTTGGACCAACCTAATCTGAGGGGAGTGTAGTCTAGACCATTGTGTTCCCAAGAATGCAGTTGGTTCTTGAATAATAACGTAAGAAGCTTGTCGCAAAGGCGAATTGTATATTTTTAAGAAAGTTTGAGCTGTAAGTATTCTAAACCGAGTTAACAAAGGTGGTAAGCGCGCTTCCACATACAAAACATTATTTGCCACAAATATGGGGAGGCCAAGACACAAGCGCAAAGCTTCTCTTTCTAATAATAATAATTGTCTCACCTTGTAAGCCGCGCTGCCGGAAAATAATACGCACCCGAATTCTATAATAGGCCGCACATACATCTTGTAAATCATTATCAGTGAACTCCTACGCAATCCTATTTTTCTGTTTCCCAATTTGCGTAACCACCCCAAGGCACGTGACGCATTACAGCCACCCTCGTCTATATGGCTTTTCCAATTTAGCGTCCTATTATATACGATGCCTAGTTATTTCAGGAAATCGACCTGAGGAATGAGCTCGATACGATACATCAGGGAAATGTTGACACGATCCTTAAAAGAAAATGGCAGAAGCGCACTTTTTTGACGTTCAATGACATATGGATATTGTCAAGCCATCCTTCTAGCATGTTCATGTAATTCTGTAATGCCTGATACAATGAGTGCAGATCACTGTTTGTTGCGAAGAAAGCAATATCATCTGCATATACGTAAATTTGGA